TGTGTGTGCCGTCCTGGATCACGGACGATAAAAAACCGGTGGGGGGCCACCGGGGACCAGGGGGGGCGGTGGCCAACGAAGACCCCCCTCTGGTCCCGTGAAAACGTACCCGCTGTTGGTCCCTTTGTTTTTGTGATGTTGGGTCCCCAAAAGTCGCTGTCTGCTTCCTTTGTTGTTGATGCCAAGGGAAGCCAAGGGTTTCTTGCTGTCTTGTCTGCGAGTGAAGCCACTCGAGATAAGTGCGTATACCCACGGCCTGTCCGACATGGCGCCGTGGGCTGGACTCGCCATATGCGGGAGCCCCCTGCGAGGGGATGACGTTCAAATGTTCAAGTTCAGTTCAGCGTCCGCCAATTTGCACATGGGAGACTCTGGCAAGGCTGCCACTTGGAGGTTCAGGTTGGAAGGTTGCACTGGCATTGCCATGCTTTGGACATTTGCACTCTTGCGCAAGGCAGCAAATTGGAGGCACAGGCTAAGGTCGCTGTGTCTGCATGTGCTAGTGATACCAGAGCCCACATGGCCTGGTTGCTCGTTCACGGTTCACTGCAGCCACTGTCTCGAATCAGTTCAATTCATGTTCACGCCTTGACTGCCATTTTCGTTTCTTGCGAAACCTTTTTCCGTTGCCGCGGGTTTTTTGTCGGTCCCCTGGTGGAATTCCCTCGGTTTGGTTTTGTGCGCTTGGGTTTTTCGTTTTTTGTCCTTGAAAATATGCTGTTGCCGCGGGGTGTTTGGCGGTCCCCTGGTGGAATTCCCTCTGTGTGGTTTTTGTGTGCTCGGGTTTTTCGTCCTTGATTTTTTTTTGCTGTTGCCGAGTTTTTTGGAGGTCCCCTGGTGGAATTCCCTCTGCTTGGTTTTGTGCGCCCGGTTTTTCGTCTTTGACATTTTTTTGCTGTTGCCGCGGGGTTTTCGGCGGTCCCCTGGTGGAATTCCCTCTGTGTGGTTCGTGTCCGCCCCACCGGGGCTTTGTGTGTGTGCGCCGTCCTGGGTCACGGACGATAAAAAACCGGCGGGGGGCCACCGGGGACCAGGGGGGGCGGTGGCCAACGAAGACCCCCCTCTGGTCCCGTGAAAACGTACCCGCTGTTGGTCCCTTTGTTTTTGTGATGTTGGGTCCCCAAAAGTCGCTGTCTGCTTCCTTTGTTGTTGATGCCAAGGGAAGCCAAGGGTTTCTTGCTGTCTTGTCTGCGAGTGAAGCCACTCGAGATAAGTGTGTATACCCACGGCCTGTCCGACATGGCGCCGTGGGCTGGACTCGCCATATGCGGGAGCCCCCTGCGAGGGGATGACGTTCAAATGTTCAAGTTCAGTTCAGCGTCCGCCAATTTGCACATGGGAGACTCTGGCAAGGCTGCCACTTGGAGGTTCAGGTTGGAAGGTTGCACTGGCATTGCCATGCTTTGGACATTTGCACTCTTGCGCAAGGCAGCAAATTGGAGGCACAGGCTAAGGTCGCTGTGTCTGCATGTGCTAGTGATACCAGAGCCCACATGGCCTGGTTGCTCGTTCACGGTTCACTGCAGCCACTGTCTCGAATCAGTTCAATTCATGTTCACGCCTTGACTGCCATTTTCGTTTCTTGCGAAACCTTTTTCCGTTGCCGCGGGTTTTTTGTCGGTCCCCTGGTGGAATTCCCTCGGTTTGGTTTTGTGCGCTTGGGTTTTTCGTTTTTCGTCCTTGACAATATTTTGCTGTTGCCGCGGGGTGTTTGGCGGTCCCCTGGTGGAATTCCCTCTGTGTGGTTTTTGTGTGCTCGGGTTTTTCGTCCTTAAATTGTTTTTGCTGTTGCCGGGGGTTTTTGGAGGTCCCCTGGTGGAATTCCCTCTGCTTGGTTTTGTGCGCCCGGTTTTTCGTCTTTGACATTTTTTTGCTGTTGCCGCGGGGCTTTCGGCGGTCCCCTGGTGGAATTCCCTCTGTGTGGTTCGTGTCCGCCCCACCGGGGCTTTGTGTGTGTGTGCCGTCCTGGATCACGGACGATAAAAAACCGGCGGGGGGCCACCGGGGACCAGGGGGGGCGGTGGCCAACGAAGACCCCCCTCTGGTCCCGTGAAAACGTACCCGCTGTTGGTCCCTTTGTTTTTGTGATGTTGGGTCCCCAAAAGTCGCTGTCTGCTTCCTTTTTTGTTGATGCCAAGGGAAGCCAAGGGTTTCTTGCTGTCTTGTCTGCGAGTGAAGCCACTCGAGATAAGTGTGTGTGTGTGTGTGTGCGTGTGTGTGTCTGTGTGTCTGTGTGTCTGTCTGTCTGTGTGTCTGTGTGTCTGTGTGTCTGTGTGTCTGTGTGTCTGTGTGTCTGTGTGTCTGTGTGTCTGTGTGTCTGTGTGTCTGTGTGTCTGTGTGTCTGTGTGTCTGTGTGTGTGTGTCTGTGTGTGTGTGTGTCTGTGTGTGTGTGTCTCTGTGTGTGTGTTTGTGTGTGTGTGCTTGTGTTTGTGTGTTCGTGTGTGTTTTTGTTTTCGTGGTTGTTTGATGGTGTTTTTGTGTGCTTGATGGTTTGTTTGTTTGTTTGTTTGTTTGTTTGTTTGTTTGTTTGTTTGTTTGTTTGTTTGTTTGTTTGTTTGTTTGTTTGTTGTTGCTTTTTGTTGTTGTTTGTTTGTTTGTTCGTTTGTTTGTTTGTTTGTTTGTTTGCTTGCTTGCTTGTTTTTGTTTCTTTCTTTGTTCGTTTGTTTGTTTGTTTGTTCGTTTGTTTGTGTGTTTGTTGTTTGTGTGTTCGCGTGTTTGTGTTCTTGTATGTGCTTGAGTTTGTGTGTGTCTGTCTCTGCGGGTGAGCGTGCTGGGGTGGGTGGGTGTATTACGTAAATGCAGGGTCAGTGGTAAAAGCAAATGCAGGCAATACCAAATCAGTATTAGTTGATCAAACAGTTCATGGCATCCAACGATCCAGTCGAATCGGAATTCAGAAGCCTTCTTCATGTGTAAGTTCAGGTTAAACCCTCTACCTCCGGGTAGCTCCTTACAAAGTCAGGTCGGAGATGATAATTGGGGCATCTCGCTTCTCAACTTTTATGTCCAGCATGCCGGTACGTTTCGACACTGTAGCTGGTAAAAAGAAACATAATATAACTATGTGGCTTGTGACTCCATTGCGGCCTTGTCTTGGCCTAGTAGCTTCAGGAGTGTGGAGGAGAAGATCACTTTGCTGAGGATCACAGTGGCGCAGCTTCAACATGAGACTCAAAACGTGTGCGCCGCTTAGTCCCGCTGGCAAGGCGACGAGGCACTGCGTGTGCTTTGCTATGCTGACCTGCCGGGGCCTTGCGTCTTGCGACAATGGGTGGCCTTCTTATCTGGTAGCGTGAATCAGCACGCAAACCGTGGGTGGAAGACGCAAGAGGTGGATTAGTTTTCTTGAGGTCTTGGGGATGGACTTCGAAAATTTACGTGGTGCGACTCACATTACGGCCGGGGCATGTTACAGTGGTCAATAGTGCCACGCAAAGAAAAAGGGGTGCTCCCGGAGCTGGGCCATTTTGGGGACATCCTGCGAGCCCTGGAAGTAGTCAGATCAGCATTTGAGGTAGACCTTCCATGATGTTGGGTCCATTTCAATACCAGGTTTTGATTGCGACTCCTCCTTTAAATGCTCCTGCAGAGTTTCTGCAGCCTGTCCCA